ATTCCATTTACGATGGGCTCGCTTCATTACATCGAGTTGTCTAAATGCCCCATTCGGTTTGATGCTGTTAGCCAACTGACTAATGTGTTTTTTGATGACTCCAATAGACAGGTATTGAATGTTGGAAAATGACGGATCCGAGATAATTATTCCTGTTTTTTTGCAGATTTTTGCTGTACGTAGTGGAGGTGCAACTGGAGTAATAGTTAAGGGGCCAACGGAGGAAACTGTGATATCGTTTTGCATGAACGACCGCGGTACAATTCGATCCATCAAATTTTCGCCTGACAATAAAGTACTCGCAGTACAACGAAAAGAAAACGCCGTTGAATTCATTTGCTTCCATGGCGAACAACCTTTGCTTCAGGAAATTATTGTGCATCAAATTAAAGCTGTAGTCTATGGTTTTGTTTGGGTGCATTCGCGCGAAGTTGCGATAATTTCAAACAGCAGTATCGAAATATTCACAGTATTAGCAGAAAAACGACAAGTGCGGACTGTAAAATCATTAAATATCGGTATAAAATGGTTTGCATGGTGCGCTGAATCTAATATTGCTCTAATTTGCTCAACAGATAATAATGCGTTAGTACCAGTTTTGATAAAACAGAAATCTATTACTAAACTACCAAAACTGGAGAGTAAGTATTATTTTTATAATATGCTATTCTTCTACATAGAAAAGATTAACTTTACATACAGTGAGCGATACAAACCGTGAAGTTCAGGAGAGCAAAGTGACTCTGGGGCAAGTATATGGCACTATGGCAATTTTTCTGCTCCAAGTAAGCACCGCGGGTATGATGGAAGTAGAAGTGTACCTCCTTAATGGACCAGGTTTGGCCCCACGTAAATGTCATGTGCTTAGGTTGGGGCATGTCGGACGTTTCGCAATTAATACTGTCGATAACTTAATAGTAGTACATCATCAGTCATCTGCGACATCACTTCTGTTTGATATTTCTATGCCTGGTGAATTAGTGAACGGCGTTACCTATCATATACCTATTACCCCAGGGCGTTCCATTCGGCCTTTTGCACTGAAACTGCCAAGTCTATCACCAGACGGACAAATAATGCAATGCGAATTGTGTACGTTTCTTAAGGTCATATTGATGGTAGCTTTAATAATTTTTTCATGATTTAGATTCGGTCAATTGGGTGCTTTTTCAGCCGAATATAGTAATTGATGCTATGCTGGGTTGCATGTGGTATTTGAACCTAAATGTTGAATCACTTTGTACGCTTATATCAGATCGTATCCGGCTCACAGAGTTTCTACTGCAGCGCGCCAGTGGCAAACAAGTACTGTTGAAAATGCTATGTCAAATGGTTGATGAACAGTACAAAGGTACATTATTGACCGTGTTAGAAACTATTTTCGATAAGATCAATAGGGTTTATGCGTAAGTAGTTAAACGTAGTAATAAGTAGTTCTCTCTTATCTGATCAAATATGTTTTATCAGTTCATGGGTACAACTGGAGCTACAAACACAAACTGCTCAGCCGTCAAATGTTAAAACTACTCCCAAACTGCCGCCTGCGCCAAAAGTTCTCATTGAACAGCAAGATATGTACACGCACGTCTTCCAATCTATTTGCGAGCGTGAAAACACTGAAACTATATTGATCCTTTATTTACACTCGCTCAACAAACATAACATTGCTGCTCAAGAGGATCTGAGTAAAATGATCATAAGCGAACTTATACGAAATCGTAGCTTTGACACACTCAGACATTTGGTTAGCTACTCCCTTTTATTAGAGTCAAAACCAATTGCATGTTTTCTGCTTTCGCACTCCAATGTCGATGCTGCTATTTCACAAATCGCCCTTGATATGCTAAGCAAAATCGGCGCACATGATGTAAGTACAAAATATGTTAATAATAGTTATATGATTCACAATACAATCATTAATTCATCATGTTTTAGATTATTATCGAGGTGCTGTTAGGCCAGGACAAAGTAGTGGATGCTTTACGTTTGGCACGCAACTCAAAAATCAATGAAACGATTTCCGCTCGCAAATTCCTTGAAGCTGCTCAAAAGGCGAATGACGATCTAATATTCCACAGCGTTTTTAAATTCTTCCAGTTGAGAAACCTCCGCCAACGTGGTAGTATGGACTTTTTAAAAAGTAAGATTCATTAAACAAACTTTAACAAAAATGTTTTAATGTTTTTTTTTTTTGTTCAAGCAGCGGAGCAATGCGGCGAATTCGTACAATACTACAGTAATTTATATCCCAAGGAGCTAATATCTTAATGGTAAAAACTACCATATTCCGAACACATGTTCTTATTTTTTCTAAATAATTTTACATAGCTACATTTTGTTTATATTTTGATTTATTAATTCAAAGATAAATTACAGAATGGTGTTTATTTTGTTTACTAACGTATTCAGACTCAGTTAGTCTAGACCTATGGGTCGATTATTGATGGCAACGCAACCGCAGTTTAGTTGCAGATGGGCAATGCCACTGAAACGAAAATGTATATTATGAATAGCAGCTATAGTAAAGTTCTATAAAGTTGAAGGTAATAAAATTTTGAAGAACCGGCAAATAAGACTTCACAGTGTAAATAAGCTGAAGAAACAGTTAAAAAAAGAAACAAATTATCTCAATCAAAATTTCTGCGGCAACCACAAAAATGCGTTTGCAAAATATAGCAACTCATTTGCCAGCTTTCAGTAGCCAGTTGCCATCTGTAATACCATTTCAGCCACTGGCCACCAAACTAAAGTTCGGTTGCAATCCGCAATCGACCCATTAATTTACATACGTAACGTAACCTAATATATTCGCCAATGCAATATATTTTTGTTCAGGAATTTTTTGATGTGGCTTAAGGCGCCACTTTGCCATCTGCTGAAAAGGAAAAAAAAAAAAAAAAAACAAATTATTTTCGCTTCTAGCTAAGTTCACGTGTTGAGTAATTATTGACGTTTTCTGACGTAGGTTAAGTCTAGGCTAACTAGACTATTAGAATAACAATTTTCGCAAAATAATTTGGTACTTCATACCGTGATAGATATTTCAAATGCATACATGTCTATCATCATCATCAATGCAAAAGGCTCTAATTACCCAAGAATGTATTCTATCATACCGGTACCGTGATGGGCGCAACCTCTATTTCTCTCAATCGTGCTAATTACCAAATTTGAAGATTTACAGGTGATTAAAAAAAATTTAAATTTGCATGGGAAATGCGTATAAAGCGGTTTAAAAATGATTAAACTTTGGTAAAGAGGTGTATATGAGGACAAACTAATCAAAAAACACTCTTTCCAAATGTCAAACAGCATATTTTGTATTGATAATGACGATATGTAATTTACATTCATTAAAGTTTAATGCGTAACATAATTTCAGTTTTGAGTGTCACTTGATCACGACATGGTGGAAATATATGTATGTATGTATACTAGTAAGTAAATAAAGAATACTGTAGGCTTAAGTAAAATGAAAATGAAATATCCTGAAGTCATTATTTTTACGTTTAAAGTTCACGATTAAGGAAACTTTATAATATAGTCACTGAGCCATCTCTTGATTGTTATTTAAGGGAAGAATTCAAATAAACGAAAATTGTAAGTCTACAATTTGCGTATTTACGATAATAATATGGCTCAACTTAGGGAGTGCATTAATGCAAAAATTATGAATATTCTGCAAAATTTTACCAAAATATCAAACTTTTTAATCAGCATCTTTAGAAAAAATTTTGGTATGCTTTCTAGCCAATTAAATTTTAGTAAAATAAAGTGCAAATATGAAACACCTAGGACTTTCCGCTTACAATTTTATTGGTTGACGGGCTTGGTTGATCGGCTGCAAAACTGCATATTAAAATTGTTTCCAAGAATGCTGATTAAAAAGTTTAAAATTTTGCAGAATTTTCATAATATATTGGTGTTTGTTAAGTAATCACTTGCAAACCAAAGTTTCCGACATCTTAACGAAATCTTTAGGCGTATCTCATTTCTTAGCGAATTTTTTACGAATCTTCAAAGAAAATTATATGAAGTGGTTGACACGAACTCGTAAGGAAATTTCTGTACGGAAAATAAAAGAAATTCTGCTAGAAAATCTTCACATAGCTTTACCGATTTTCTTCCGCAAAGAAGAATAAGGATCCAAATGTGGAGTTTATTTTATTATAGAAAAATCGGCTAAAAATCGGATCAGATAGTTACGTATTCTTTAAAATTTATCTACAATTCAGAATACTTTGAAAAAATGGTTGGCAGGGCAGCTAAATTTTCATAAAAAATAATAAGCATTACATAAACTACAGAAAAATATCAAAAAATTCTTTAAATGTCGCGTCCCAGTTTTTATTTGGTTCACTACATGTATGTATGTATATTTGAAATTCCTAAGACAATCAAAATGCTTAAATAGCTTAATTTCATAGAATCATAACTAGGCGTACATACCTAATGATGTGCACGTATTGTTATGTTACTAGATCGACCTGCTTAAACAGCCACTTCAGTAATTTTCCCTAAGTTATTTTAGATATTTACACCCATCTGGTTATCAGGCTCTAGTTATATGTTTTTTCAGTTTAAAACAATCAAATACACTGGATTATAATTTTTATCTAGGTGAAATAATTTCCAGAATGGCGTGAATTCGCACCGATTATTCGGTTAATAATTTCATTAAGTTCCAGAATATACATATGTATCTCGTCGACAACAATGCAAAAATCCGCCTCATTAGATTAAGTAAAATTTTACAGCAGATGAAAATAAACTTTAATTGACTTTGGACTGCCTTCAGGAATATTTAATAGATTTCACCAAATTAGGATATACCTTTGGGTTTTGGTGTTTGGTTGTATTTGATGAGGTAGAATTTTGTGAACCAATAAAAAATATTTTTTTTTATTATAGTTCATGCTTTACAAAAAATATATAAATCAAAGTTGCAATTTAACGGCCCATTTTAGTTAAGTATTATAATGCGTAAATTTGAAATGACCAAAAAATTTCGGTGATATGCTTTTTATATAGGAGAAAATGTGCAACATCGTGAGAAAAAAAAAACATTGTCAAAAATCAACCAGAATTGAAGTACTTCAAACTTACAGTTTATAATAAAATTAAATGGGCTATATAACTGCATACTCGAGCAAATTTTATTAAAAAGTTTGAGGTTTTTAGGATTTTTTTTTTAATATTATACAGTTTGAGATTTTGATTTATATGGATAGTGTTCTAGTATGAAATATGTTAAAAAATATGATTTTTTCATTAATTTACAAAATTTTACCTGATTTAAAGAAAAAAAAAATTTTGGTGATAAGTTATGCGTTACCGCCAGGGTATGTATGTAAAAAAATAATTTTCAAAATGGGGCGTTTGCATTGACAACGGCAATATGTACATGGCGCTATCAATGCAAATGGCTCTTGAAATTTTAAAACGAAATCTTTTAAAGTGCTACAGGGCTGTTCTAAAGAAAATGTTAGTTTTCCAATAATTTTCGAATTGTTAACCAAGCCTAATGTTTGTTTATTGGGTTATATCTAAAAATAGTATTGAAATGTCCTTTCTAAAATAATTTTACCTCTCAGAAAGTAGTTACAACTTTAGAGCAAATGTTTCAGTGACTTTATACGACCAAATAAATTTTAAGCAATACGGTTTGCTTCACCTTACTCATATTTGCAATCGATTTGATGCTAAATATGAGAAAAGAACGTACTTTTTAAGGCAGATTCATCGTTATTAGTTAAAGTTGAGTTAACATCTCAGAAGCGTTCAAAACTTGTCTCAGTTGCTCTACCAGAGAGAGAAACGCAACAATAACTACATGGAAGAAAAGTTCTGAACTAAAACAATGAATCTGCCTTAATCCCGCTTCTGCATGCCATGCTCTTGACTTCCCTTTATATACACACATACATACAAATGGATATACACATGTATGTATGAAGATCTGTGGACATTTGACAAAACAACTTATCATTTTCTCTGTAAAGCGGTAATTCATTGAATTTGAATGATATTTTTAATTTTTAATCATTAATAGGAGTGGTTCAAGATGCTATCTTAATGAAAGTTAAATAGGTTTTTTATTATTTTACACTAAATTCCAACCTACTACAGAATGCACAGAAGTTGTTTTGTCAAAAGTCTACAGACGTGTGGTAAATTTCACCATGGTATTAAATTAGTTGTTTGTAAATTTTCGCGGTGGTGCCTTCAATCTTAACACACCCGTTTGAAGAATGTCGTGCTGCTGCTGATGAAAATTATGACTTCCCTCGCTGAATTGATAAATCGTATGGCTGGGCTCTGATAGCTTAATTAAATCACTGTAGAAAGTGCTTTCTATCACAGAAAGGCATTGAGGACACGAAGCGCTCATTATGGATACGTCGTTTTCAGCGTGCGTAGATCCGGAAATTTCATCATGTTCCCGCGCTTCTAATGTTTCGCTGTATGCCGCTGCACATTTGTCATGCATAGCATGCCCACAGCTACCTAGGACCAGAATGTCAGTCTGATTGTACAAACGTTGTTGACAAATGACACAACGCATTATTGACACCAAAAGTCCCCGCTTGACTTCTTTCCGTTTACATGCAAATGTATTGGCTAGTTCCTCACCTCTTATTTGAAGTGTCTTTTCCATTGCATCCGTTTCCAGCCGAGATTGTGAGAGCATACTCATTAGCAAATCTTTAATGTCACCGAAATTTCCTGATACATTTCGAGTGTTCATAACTAGCTGTACAAGCTTCGGTAAATCGACATGCTGTGATGCTAGGTGCAACATATTCTTAGTACTAGATTTGAGATCATCACGCGGCAGAATTTGCTGCAGTAATGTAAACCAAAATTTTTCACATTCCTTGTTTGGCAGTAATTCATTAGCTCGCACACACAGACTGCTTATTCCTTGCGCAAATACAGCTGCTTCCTCAGCATGCAATGTAGATAATAATTCTATGGATATCTCGAATGCAGATTTATAATTTCCTTGTTTTTCATACAGGTAAACAGCTGCTCTGCTGAGTTTATGCGATAATACTAGTTTTAGCGCCTCTCCCAGGCGGTATTGGTCAGCATTCCGTACAAAATCATCCACCTCATGTGGTTTATTCTTACATAAAAGTGCCAAAAGTTGCTCACTTTGTTCTGTCGTTAAATCAACTCGTCGTCTATGTAAATGTTCCAAAAATGTTAATAACGACTGTTCATCTTTCTTAGCCACCTCAACAAGTTTATTTATTTGTCCACTATAATAAAAGTCTACGATTCGCGCTGTTTCCTTGGCGTTGATTTCCAGCATGCGCAGCAAATAATTTTCAATTTGGTGGTATATTTTACGCTCAGGATGACGAACGTGTCGCTCCATATAGCTGAACATGGTATCGTGACGCAGGCTATTGTTAAAATAACACTCGACAATGCCATCGTAACGTTGTAATTTTTCTAATAGATATTCCTGAACATAGTAACAATGCGCTCGTTTGGCCAACTGCAGCTGTTCCTCATCGTTACTTATTGAATCTAGACAATTGTTAATTAGCAGTTCATGCCATGCGCTCTCTCGTTCTGAATGTTGGCGAGCAGTTTCATTTGCTATTTCCTCCTTCGATAAATGGTTGAGTACTTTTTCCAGCAGCTGAGAGTCAGGTGTTAGACATTGCTGTGATATTTGCTGAGCAATAAAATTCAAAAGGCAGCCAATCTCGGCCCACTAGTAGTGCAAAACAGTAAAGAGTATTAGTACTGGTTAAATATGCAATATATTATAATAAGTTACATACATACTATGTTTATGAAAATAAAATGTTTAAAAACTAACATTTAACGCTTGTTTTGTTTTGTAGAAGGTCAGACATCTATGAATCTATGTATGTTATACTTAAAGTGAGCCACAAAATCTACAACTATATGCAAGGAGTCATTTTCGTTTCCATACAATATAACAATACGTAAAGTTATACTGTCTAGCCTAGAATTCAAAACGAAACTTCCTAATTTGCAAAGACCTGTTAAAAATAGAGGTTTAATAAGCTTATTATATAGTTTCTTATTGTACGCTCAACTATCTTCTTTGCCTGGATCTTTCTTCTCTCCTAATCTATTCCCTTTGTAGTCCTGTTGCAAATTAGAGCATGTACTATTTATCTGCGTTTCCTTCTATGCCTTTACCGCGAATGTATTTAGTATTCTTACCCCTCGAGAACAAATGATGACTTATTTTTATAAGAGAGAAGAGCACTGGTAGTCGGTTGGTGTTATCACTGAAATGTTTTTTGGGTGTTTAATCATAAGACCCGGGAGCCTTGATCTGGGCCCAAAGATGCCAGTTCTAATGCTTTCCCGCATACAATACATACATACTAATGCTTTCATACATAGACTTTTTTTCATCATTCTAACTAAATTGCTAGTAAATTAAATACAAAAAAAAGGTAATTGGTTTTTTATGGCTTTATGAAGTCTTGCAGCCACAGGAGTATATGTTATGTTCTCGCAGAAGATTCTCTTATTCGTCTTCCCTTTATCGTTACTGTATGTTTTTATATTAGGTGTACAGTCCTTATAGCAACCAGTTGCACTACAAAACGGTGCTTTTCTGAGCAGGTAATGAGTTTATAAGTGGCAGTCGTCGGCCAGATATAAATCTAGGTGTTTCCGGTTATGTAGAGACGGCTGCCATGAGGCAGATTCTTGGGTTCTTATACATTCATTTCTCTTGGCCCAATGTACATGTTTTATTTAGAAAATAAACAAATTATTAAAATCATACATATTAAATATAACTTACGGTTGTGTTTTCGGGAGTCATTATCTCAAGCAGTATATTAATGATGCGCTTGCGGTGGGAAAATCCAAGCTCTCCGCTAAATTCTTTTTCTTGAAAAGCTAAAGAAATCACATTCAATGTTTCGCGTGTATCAAATTTGAGGAGAGTCCGCAAATATGGATATGGAAGTTCGTTCGGAACGCTAGTGTTCGAATGTAGGGAAGTTAAGCAACGAAGGACTTCGTGCTTCACATTTTGAACCAGATCGGCTGGAATTTCACCGCACGGGTAGCCCCGACCTGCCAAGCAACTGGATATATAGACGAGTAGTGTATTGCCTAGATCGGAAGGCTCCTGTGCTATAATTGGTATTAGCTCAGTAAGTGGGCTTGAATAATCACCAAGCGCATGTGCATTAAGGTAGATTTGTGCGCGATAAAGCTTGTGTCGTTTTGCTGCCTTTAACACCTGATTTAAATCAAGACAGGCCCAATCCAGTTTAAGTATTATTTCCTCTAATTTTGAAGGTGATATTTCCAACCAGTGGTCTACCAAAGCCTGAGATATTGTTGGGTTTACACGATGTATATTGTCATTTTCTATGTGTTCGGTGATATGTTTTAGATATAGGCTTTTATTTTGTAATCGATCCCACAACTGTGTCCAAAGCAAATCCAGTTCTCCGATCGTTATCAGACACTTAACTATGGGTCCCAGACAGTAATCTGGTGCACGTGCTGAAGCAGCCAAATACTCTTTAAAAAGCATTATGATTCGTTCTTTAGCCTGGGCTTTTCGTTTAGGTCGTTCTGCAGTTGCGCGATAACCATCCAGTGCAAGATCACAAGCTTCTTGCCACCTTTGATTTTTTACCTATAAAATGTATATAAAGAATATGTAATGTTGAAGTTTTCATAAACGGACAACTGTTTGTACCAGGTAGCTGATGCGCTCAGTCCATGTTCGTACTGCGATCATGTGTAAGGATCGTGCGCCCAAAATATACAGCTGAGTACCTCGCGACATTAAGGAATTGTAGCATGCATGCGTACCTGCTAAAGCCAACGCAGGTGATACATTACCGCCAGTGGCAAGTCCCTTGAACTGAGCCGATCCGTATACCAATCCAGCATTGGCCATGTCGATACATTCAAGCTCTTTACTGGAGCGCACATCTATTAGATGTAATATTTCTGAGATATCCATGCATGCAACACACTTTGGTCCTAGCCAATGGACAGATAATAAATTTGTTTGCATTTGCACATGACGAAGATAAAGCAAAGTGATACGACCATTTGCCATAAAAAGTTGATGGAAAAATAGCTGGTTGCCACGACCAACTACAATAACTGGATCAACAGAGCGCGTGGTATCCGCTGCTTGTATTAAAACCATTTGCCAAGCCAGCAGCGGTAAACAATCAGCTGGTCCTTGTAGAGCATGGTACTTTATTACCTTTAACCGCGGACGTATGGTTACAATGAAATATTTTGATAATGTAGCTAAAGCAACAATGCAGTACTGATCTAGTTCGTGGGAGCTGTCAATCATTAATGGCTCCAAGGTGCAAACCTCTCCACGTGCGCCACTAAAAAGGCAGCGTGATGAACAACCACGTATGCCCAATTTACGGGTGAAGCTCAATGACCACACTGAGCCCCCAGAGTCAGAACAAAGAGCGAGAGCTGGTCTGGAGGTCCACTTTATATGCAGAACTCCTGTGTTTGGAGTGATCACATCAAACAAGTTGCGCAACACATCTCCGGATTGTGTATCAATCATAATGACTAGTCCGCGAGCAAAACCAGCTAAAAGTCGTGAGCAATCGGGATTATATGCTAACGCAGATACCGCGCCTTGTCCGTGTTTGTCCTGATGGGCCCAGCGTAAAGTCTGAGTAATATCAAAGTTGAGAATGTGACCGTGTGATGTACCAATGGCAATTAACGTAGAAACAGCGCAGGCTGTGGCAAGTCCAGCATTTACCCGATCCTGAAACACATACCGATATTTATAATTATAAAGCATAAATTGAAAAGTCGCAAATAAACGAACCGCTGCTGAAGCTATTTGGGTCGAGACACCCTGCAACATGGCATAACGCATTATAGAACCTCCACCTCCCGCACCACCATTGCGAACTCCACCCTCCTCTGCTATTGAGGGCGTTGGCGTTGGAGCCGGTACTGGTACGCCCAATTCCGAGCCGATATCAGAGTCTGCTTCAAATTCACTTAAAGCTGACTCCAACGTAGGCAAGGTATTAGTAGGTGGAATTGAATATTCCACATCATCTAACTGTTATTTTTTAAACGAGTTTTAGTCTATATGTGTAAAAGTTAAAAACAATTTACATACATCTTCCACATCAAGCAAAGATTCTGCCAGTAAACTATCGCTGGATCCATGATCTGACTCCAAGAGCGACTGTAGAGACGGCGCTTTTAGCTCGTTCATAGTTCACACCTTTTTGAAAAGTTTCAAGATGTTTTTTATTAATTTTACAATTGCTTACGAACGGGGCTTTACTTTCGTTTCGTTATCAATTAAATTTGCACCCCCACACTCCCATATGCCGTCTATCAATTGACACGAATTCCGTTTAATACAATACTCAGTTTGTTGTGACACATTCGTTTTGACAATACAACAGCTGTTTCAAAAATCCTTTGCAGGTTGCCAACTCCCGTTAACTACTTAAAATGGAGAAGTTTTGTGAATCGTTAACCTGAGGTTTAGATGTTATAAAAATTGCTTTCAGTTATTTAGTTTAGTTGTTTTCTTGAAGATAATGATAATGAAATTGCTGTTCAAATCAGATGCAGCCCACGGCTGAGATTTCCGTCACGGAACCAATAGCTATATCATTCAAAGTATTCGTAACCGCCAAAATAATATTCTTTAAGTAATTTGTTGTTAATATATCCCTCCTACTATCACCACATTTTAATTTAAAAAGCCACTTTAACTTATATTTATAGTAATATGCCATCCTTAAAATGTTCGCATGCGTTTGTAATAATTTAATATAAATTAATTAATTAATAATTGAAGTAAAACACTTTTATAAATGTGTTAAAAAATTTGTTCTTATTTCACAAGCAAAAAGAAATAACAGTACGAGTAAATGTGTACTATCATACGTTTTAAAAGAAAATACACCACAAATAAGGGCACATAATCACGCTATACACTTTTACTACTTGTATGTATGTTGAATGAATTTAATAAAACTCCTCTATTATTAAATATTTTTTTTTTTATAAAAATCGATGCTCCGATAAACAATGCGGCGCTTTTTTTTATAAAAATCAATACTTCGATAAATAATGAAAATTTGTAATAAAAAATCGAATGAATCTACACGGTGGAGATCGGGCGTTTAAACTGAGTTTAAACCACGGCCGTGCACTGAAAAACTGGCCCTTAGAATAACTCCTTGACTATTTAACAAATTTAAAATGGCTGGAGAATTAATTCCAGATCTTTGTTGGCACGGCAACTCCGGATATGGTGTTGGCGCAATTGCCCCGTGCAGCGCAGTGTTACCAATAAATCTTTGTTTGCCGTCGGGTATATCAAGCCTTTACTGTAAAATTTGTCAACCTGCGCAGTGTCAATTCAGTTAAAATTGTTATCAGTTCAGAAAGAAAATAAATATTTCACTGATGTCACTTCAAAAACAGCTGAAGTCGAAGAAATATACAATCCTGCTGCTCTTTTGCTTTATCGGATTTTTGCCATTTATACGGTTTATAAATATTCGTTCTGCGAATATGGGTCACTGCATTTTTTGTGAGATTTCAGCCGGGAAACAACCAAACACTGTGATTGAATTGGAGAATGACGAATTTGTTGTATTCAAAGACATCAAACCGTCTTCAAAATATCATTTCTTAGCTGTTCCTAAACGCCACATTGAGAGTCTAAAAACTTTAGCGAAAGAGGATGAGGGGTTGTGTAAGTACAGGCACCAATTAATGCTAATTATGTACAAATACGATTACATTTGTTTAAACTTATTAAATACTTAAATCAGCATATTCTATTTCAGCTTACATATTCGTCGCCTGGGTAAAAGATTGTCGTATGTTAGTTACGGCAGGTTGTGGGAAATCGCGATTGAAGTTTGGAATGCAATTTCTCAAAAACGCGAAGATAGATTTTCTCCAAAGTCTCTGAAAATGTTACTATGTAGTTCACAAAATTCTCAAATTATTTAATTTTTAATGTTTATTGTTAATTAGTTTTGCGTTTATGAAGGATTTTCTTTAGTAAAATTTTGTTGTAAGCGCCATTTGTCCATAATTTGGCAGCCACTTTGTATGAAATATGACAAAATGTGCACAAAATTTCCACCAAATTAACGACACTTTTTACTCAATATCTGGGAAACTAAAGGAGATATCCAAAAATGGAGAACGCCATTTTTAAGATATTGATTAGTTTAATATGGCTGCATCACTAACTAAATTTTTACTAAATTATCGAAAAAATTGTAGTCAATTTCTCGGAAATTAAAGGAGATATCTAAAAGCTGATGACACCATTCGAAAGACCTTACTTCAAAATATATACATAACTGCATCTAGAACTAAAAATCGTCGAAATGGCGCTTACGACAATTTTTTACTCAGGCGACGATATGTAGTTCTTTAAAATTGTAGCATTGAATAAATAATGGAATGTTTAATCTATGTAGGCGAAAATTTGGTAGGACATGTACTAAATGTTAAACGCGATTTAGTTAGTTGAAAGCATGACCGATAATTGGAAACTAGTCACTCGCTTAATTGACAGCGCCAGAAAGCATTAGTACAATAAGACCTTAGATATTTTACAGTACAAAACAAAAAAATGAAAGTTAGGGCGCTTGGGCCAGGAGTGAAACCTACATATTTTCGTTACATATACAAAATATATATGAAATTTACCTTGGTCTTCATATTTATTTTTATCTTTTATATCTTTGCTTTTATTTCGCCGTCCATATTCACGTAGATGATGTGAGGTGCGATAACGTGATAAAATGTTATGTGATGTGATGTCTGGTAATGCGATGCAATGTGATGTGATTTTATGTGATGTTACAGTGGCCACACACGACGAACATGTGTGAGAGCATGCTCGCCAACATGCTCGCTGTCGTTTGCCACAGACGGTGAGCCGCTCATAGTTGCGTTCCAGATGCTTCACGATTTGCAGGTTTTTGCAGGAAGTCGTTCTAGGTGACCACCTTCCATAAGGTTTATTAATGCAGAAAACAGTTGTTCCTGCAAATCGTGAATATCGTGAAGCATCTGGAACGCAACTCATGTGAAATTTTCGTGGTAGCGTAAAGACGGATAACAAAGACGCGGATGATGCAATTGCAATGCTTTTGACTTAGCTTTTTTTATGTATTTGCTACTTGAATTAATTTATATCAGAGGTGGGCAGCTTCGGCAGAGCATTTTCGTAGTATGCGTGCAATTGATGTCACTGTGTGCGTACGAACAAGTCGTGCGGTGGAATGAAGCCTTCGCTGTCTTCCCATCCAGAGCACGTGTGTATATGCGACTACGCCTCGCAGTCGCTCGCCGGGCAGACGCTACCCAGCTGTGATTTATATTATTCTTTTATGTATGTACATAAAAGCATACCCAAAAAATTAAATAAAATTCTGGTTAAAAAGCTCGAAATTTAGATAAAAATTTGTGCAATTTTTCTAAATGCAGTATAAAGTTGGAAAGTGTGATTTGTATGGTTTTTGTTAAAGCATGAACCAAATTTTTATCAAACAAAAATTTTGCTTGAAAAACATTGTTAATATTAAAAACGAAACACCATTCACCCACTGTAAGTATGCATGTACATTAGACTGCATCACCAAAAAAAGTTGCTGTTTTTTCGCCGGGATTACAAAATTTATTATATTTTAAGACGTCCACCAAAATATTTCGGAAAAATATTAAGATTTTAGTGAGCTGGACCGATTTGAAAACACCTCCAAAAATGGAGATTTTTATGAACAAAAATAGTTTCTTAAAGAACTTTTTGAAAAAAGTCCCCTCAGATGACAAAATAGATTAAGCTTAAAAAATCTGCATAAAAATATTTAAAAATCTTTTCAACGGAATCGTAAGAACGACATTTTTGATGGTGTTTTTGTACTTTTTTCAAAGATTGATTTACGAAAAACTTGAATAACTGGGCCAAAACTATTCTGATTTAGACTTATGGGATCTCAGTGGAAAGGTATTTTCACACTGTTTTTTTTCTGTCCCAAAAAAGTCATTCGTATCCAAATTTTTTATTTTTCAAATACCAACACATTTTAATTCAACTTTGAATAAATGAGTTTAATAGCAAAGAAATAAAAACGATGAGAAAAAACCTTTCCTCTTAAGTATAAATCGGAAGAGTTTAGGTTGTGTTATTAAAGTTTTTCTTATACCAATCTTTGAAAAAAGTTAAAAAACAGCATCAAAAATCTCATTATTACGATTCCGTTGAAATATTTTTTTAATTTTTTTTAAATATTTTTATGCAAATTTTTTAAGGTTAAACAGTTTTGACATTTGAGGGGATTTTAAAAAAAAAAATCTTTAAGAAACTATTTTTATTCATATAAAATTCCATTTTTAGAGGTATTTTCAAATCGGTCCAGCTCACTTAAATCTTAATATTTTTCCGAATTATTAATTTTATTAGCACCGATTTTTTTTTTGTATGGGGAGTGATGCAGTGTAATATACATGCATATAGAAATTTAGCCTCATGTATCAAAAAATCTATTACGCACATGGTTTGGTTGCTTTTATCCGCCGATGTGCACGCTGCGAGCATAAACCAAAAAGGGGCTGTTGTTGTTGTTGTTGTAGCGGCTACTAAGCCCTGTTCGGGGCGGTTCATCCATCAACTTTGTCGTCAATTTCAGCTAGGGGGAGGCCCAGGAAGTGTGCTACTTCCACAGGGGCTGTCCATAGAGACAGGGGCGTTAGCTGAGTGGGGTTCTCAGGGCATGTGAAGAGGTGCCGGGAGTCATGTGGCGACTCTCCACATGCCGGGCATTGGTTCGGCACATCCTCGTTGATTTTGCTCAGGTAGCTGTTGAGCCTGCTGCAATAGCCAGAGCGAAGTTGGGCTATTGTAGAGCGGGTCTCCCGAGGTAGACAAAGTTCTGTCCCGTCCACGTCCGGTGGTTGTGTGCCTAGAACGGCATACACAGGGCGGGAGTCTACATAACTTGAGACTGATTCCCTGTAAATGCCGTTCAGGGCCTGTCGGTAGGTTGACGGGTCCAGAGGTTGTTTGATATACCTCTGGACTTCGTCTGTCAGTTCGTAAAGATGCCTCCTGACGTGCCGTGGCGAGGGCTCTTCCGCGAGCAGTTGCCCGCTGGGATGGCCACGTCTGTGGCTCCCAGCAAGGAACTGCTTGCAGAGCATTATGTTATGCTCCTTTACTGGGAGCATCTGGGCCTCGTCATGAAGGTGGTGTTGAGGCGTCATCAGGAGGCATCCTGTCGCAGTTCGTAATGCCGAGTTTTGGCAGGTCTGTAGCTTCATCCACTGTGTCCTGCTAGTCCCCGGCGACCATACGGGCGCTGCGTAGTTTAGAACCGGCCGGCCAATTGCCTTGTATGTTGCCAACAACGTCTCTTTATCTTTGCCCCAAGTGCTGCCGGCCAGCGACTTGAGGACATTGTTGCGGCTCTGTACTTTGTTGACAATTGCGGTTGTGTGCGCCGAGAAGGAGAGCAGACTGTCGAAGGTAACTCCGAGGATTTTCGGGTTATTCACCGTCGGTATTGTTACGCCATCGACGTGAATATCCAGCGGCAGTCTGACCTCCTTCGTCCAGGTGGTGAAAAGGGTTGCTGAGCATTTCGCAGGGGATAGGGCAGGGCTCCTTGCAGTGAAGAAGCGAGAAAGTTCGGAGAGGTAACCGTTTACTTTCGAGCACAAGTCATCAATTCCATTCCCAGACGCCATGATCGAACAATCGTCAGCATACGAGACTATATTAACACCCTCTGGTGGCTGAGGAAGCTTTGATATGTAATAATTAAACAGTAGCGGGTTGACACCACCCTGTGGTACCTCCTGTTTAATTTCACGTGGCTTGCTAGTTTTGTCTCTGAAAATTACTGACGAGTGTCGACCACTCAGGTAATTCGCCGACCACCGTTTGAGTCCCTGTGGGAGTGAGGAGGCCTCTATATCTTCTAGTAGCGATGAATGGCTGACAGTGTCGAACGCTTTGGACAGGTCCAACGCTACTAGAATAGTTCTCTCGAAGGGGCGGTTTCGGTTTAGGCCACGAGTTATCTGAGTGTTTATTGCGTTAAGTGCTGTTGTTGTGCTATGCACTTTACGGAACCCATGTTGATGCTTCGCTGGGATCAGGTGGTTCGTAAGGTACGGGAGCAGCAGGGTCTCGAGTGTCTTCGCTACCGGGAGAGTTATCGGGCGATAAGACTCTCCTTTTTTGGCTGGTTTCCCCAGTTTGAGCAGTGGGACAACTCTCCCCATTTTCCAGATGTCTGGAATGACGAGAGTGGCCATAGACAGGTTGAGGACCTCCATTAGGTACGCTACTCCCGCAGGAAAATCTCGTATTCAAAATCGCAGAATTTTCGTTATACTGAAGTGCATGTTGTTCCCATATTAAATAAATAAAACGCTCCTGAATTTATTACTTTGGGAGACATCGCTTTCTGCACCCAAATGAGTTATAATGGAGTAAAAGAGCGAAAGATCTCTCTTACTGTTTCGAAAAAACGTTAAAATTGGTAGTGTTTCGTTATTAACTTTGAAAGATCTTTTTAAATGCTCCGAACTGAGTATTAATGGAGTACAAAATCTCATTTATTATTTCAAATCATGTCTCATGGAGCTAAATTTTTTTGTTAGCTTTGGGAGACATCGCATCTTGCTCCTAAGCGAACAATAATGGACACCAAAACTGATAAATTTCGTTTATTGCTACGCGATCATGACAAAGGGAGTACTCTTTAATGCCTCAATTTGGAAGTTCTCTCTTCAGGTTGTGGTGGGGTTCTATGTAGTGGGTAGTAACTAATATACATATCGTCGTTTTAAGTACAAAACCGCGTATCGTCATTCTGCGTTTGCTGTCAAAAATTGAATTTGCTCACCCAAGCTCGTGGCTCAATCCTTATCCATTCGTCCTGAAATATACTAGCCAGAAATGCGATTGCTTTATAAAAACGAGAACCATTTCGAAATATGAGTGTTTCACTATTTAAAAAATAATTTACGCAACCTCACATACGCGGTTTTGCGTTTTATTGATACGCGGTTTTGTACTTTAAACGACGATGTGTATGTATGTTATATTTCACTATACGAAAATACGTAGAAATGGTTTTCTTAAACTTGATTTTATTTAATCCACGTCGAACAGAGGCAGGGATAAAGTTCAGGAAATGAATATTGACAATGAATAGTCTTGCTGAGGTAATTATAAGAAGGTACTATCAAGTCCTTTATTCGAGTGCTCTCTTATTCCCCTTTTTGCGTGATCTCCCTTCAAGTTTTATTGGGGGAAAAGAAAGGCATCTCCTAATATTAAAATTATGCTTAAGTATAACAATAACAATTGCTGTAAATATGCAAATATGTATACATTTAAGATATACATAATTAAATGTCAATGTAACTCTGTACTTAATTTCTTAGTGGATCGCATGGAACAAGGATTAACGTCGTTATTTGAAAAAATGAATATCAGTACGACAGATGCATTGTTCGGATTTCACCTGCCCCCTTTCGTTACCGTAAAACACCTGCATATGCATGGAATAGCGCCTCGTTCGACGATGTCCTTTTTACATAGGATGATGTTCAAGCCAGGATCAGCGTGGTTCAAAACGGTATAAATTAACATTAATCTTCTTTCCAAAAATCAATACAGTATATTTATCATTAGGTTGAAGAAGCACGTTGTTATCTGCAAGAAAAAGCATAAGGGTTGCTGCTGTTTTTGCAACAGCATAATCGATTTCCAGAAATAAAAATGAGTCGTGGGAGCGGGCATAATATATTATCCGGGTTGCTTATATTTAACTGTAACGATAATTACTGTAGCATATATCTTGTCATTGTTTATATCTTATGTACACCTGTGTTCAAGTAATTAGCAATTAATTTCAAAATGATAAAAATAAAAATTTAAAAACATCAACGGTAATTTTTAACGATTTGAGCCTTGCACTTTCTTAGACTACAATTGAATGGGCTACAGAACTGCATACCCGAAAATATTCTAAATACTCTGATTAAAAATTTGGAAATTTGTATGACAAACTTTTGAAGTTTAATTGAGTTTTTTTGCAATTTCTGCAAGTTTTGAAACTTTTATTATTGCGGTTTCTGTTACGGATTGAATTATATTTTAAATGAAAATTATTAAAAATAAACATAATTGACAAACAATATCATTTTGAATTCCGTTGCTAATTAGTTGAACGCATGTGTATGTATATTAGGGTGGTCCTTAAAAAATCAAACAAACGATTTTTCTTCAGTCTCACCCCTCAATCGGTAATACCACGGCCAAGAATATCACATATACATTTTGGTCACGATTGGAGACGGTTAGGGCGTGTCGCACAGGGGTGAAATGCCAGATGCCTTTGTGGACTCAAAAATTAAAAATTTTATATATTTTCTTCATTTAATACCCAAAATCGATGCTACTAAAATCGAGTATATCACGGGGAGAACGAAAAATGATATCATATCACATATACATTTTGGTCCCGGTTGGAGTCGGTTATAGGGTAATCTGAAGTTTGACCCTTCGACTAAAGTAGCATCGACGCAGGGGTTGAGGCTTAGGAAATCTGACCACCCTAATGTACATATACAAAGAAAAAATTATTTTTTTTTTGTTAGTTGTTACTTATAGCATAATTCATAAAAAATTAAATAAATTTAAAAAGCTTAATGAAGTAATATTTTCCTACATACTATGTGTTTTCCATTTTTAAAGCACTTAAAGTCTTCCTGACATGAATTTGGACAAGGCGAAATTGAATTCGCCTTGCACTTGGGTATAAAACAGCATATAAATTCCTCAAAGAGTTTTTGGGGAATGATGCTGGAGTGACAGTCCTTGGCCAGATATTAATCTGGGTCGTTCCGGTTAGGTAGACCAGACTTTCGTGTTTGATAATATGACTACTCGTTACACAATTAACATCAAAATTCTTGACCACATTTGTGGTCACAAGTGGGCGGCGCCACGCCCATTATCTAAAAATTTATTGATTCTAATTTTCTGTTAAGTGGATATTGCAATCATCGATTTTAAGTGAATTAGCTCCAGTAGTTACTGATTTATCGCATATTTCGTGTTTCTGTAAATTACCGTTATATGGCAGGTGGGCGTGGTTATTGCCCGATTTCAAATATTTTCAAGGCTCGTACCGAGTTTGGTAAGGATTGGTGAAACGGCTACTGAGATACAGCATTTCATCATAAGTGGGCGGGGTCACGTCCATTTTCCAAAAATTTCATAATAATAATATTTTGCACCAAAATTTTATTTCACATACTAATTTTAAAAAATTTGCATTTGTTATTTACTGAAATATCGTAGTTTTTGCATTTTTCGAAAATACAATTATGTATATTAGAAGCGGGCGTGGTTAAAGTCCGATTTCGCACATTATCAATACCAACTTATCTTGAATAAAGGACCAACTTTCGACACGGACAGACGGACGGACGGACGGACGGACAGACAGACATGGCTCAATCGATTTCTCTTTTCATTCTGAGCATTTATGTATACATTTGTCCATATCTATCTCGATTCGTTTTGGCTGTTACAAAGAACCGTTATGCGAATAAAGTTAATATACCCTTGTGCACAAGTGCGCTCGGGTATAAAAATAAATCATCACTTTTGGGCATACATTCATATGTACATAGACCTTAATAAGGAGCAGTTAGGTGCAATTCTAATACTTCGTTTATTTTATTATTTTCATACTTATTTAAAACAGCTTCGATATAAATTCTGAATCTGTATTCATTTTGATGGCCCAAAGTGCCGGTTTACGGGTAATTACGTATATTTGTACATATGTATATATGAATGTACGCTTGTTCACGCATTTAATATCATTTCAACCCCTATATGTTGGCAAGTGTCAAATGTTCGGGGGGGATAAGTATAAAAGAACTATTGCATGGTATAGAAGTATGCCAAATGGAGTTAACAGTAATGTTTGCAAGTTTATCAATTATATTAGCGCATTTAAATTTATCATATACGAGCCAGTTCGTTGAGAAAGGTGCCAGTGGTCAGCCACTCCCAAAGGCAGCCACATTTCACTTTCCAGAGTATGCATACAAGGAAACAAGTAAAAATGTGGGTATTAACATAAATATAATATTGATTTCTCCTGTTATTTGTGAAACTTATTATTATTATTGTTAAAATGTAAGGAGATTATATACCACGAATTTGAGACTTCATGTGAGCGAAATACTCTATGCGAAAATCTAGAAGGAGTTGTGAAGAAGTCATGTGTACGTCGTTGCATTTCTTATACCTGCTACCAAGACATCTACGGATTTGATGAGGTAAGTAAATAGGAGCTATTGTGTATTATACGAAAAATTTATTTACAAGCAACACTTTTCAGCTGGAGGAGGGGGAAATCGATGTTCGCCTGAATTCTTTCAAAGGTTGTGTCATTCAACGTACTGGCAAAAATCATCGCCGTTATCCGAGCACTCAGAGATTATTATTTCAACGTTTCGATGTAGGTGAATTTTTTTTCAACATGAAATGGAAGTTTACTAATTACTTTAAAAGTGTGTTCTAGTCGTTATTAAATAATAAAGTACATATATTCTTTGTGAAGCATTCTATTTAAGCATTACGTAATTTTAAATTAAAAAAATGTGGACTATTATTTGCGAAAGAAGTACGGTTGGTCACATTATGCATGGCTGTGATGCTTGATACAATTGGTTGCTACCAAGGCTGTCCGGGTTCAATCGCCAACAGACGGAGCATGAAATTTAAGATTTTTTTTCTTATTCTTAATTATGAAAAAAAAATAATCATTTTTGGGCACTTCCTGGTAAATGGCGATCAAAGGCTTGGAGAAATTCCACGTAATCCGTGCCTAGTCAGGTTGGTGTTTTTGAATGTGTTACTCAGGACTCTTACAAGCTCAATAACAGAAAAAAAATAATTGATTTGTAAACGATAGTTTATTAGTGTATCTTAAATTAAAAAATATATGTATTTTTTATTTATTATATGTATATACAAATATCTACATACATACATATGTACATACAATGTATGAAATAATATCTACCTACATATGTACATGCGTATGTATATGAAAATGTTAAGTAAGAGTGCAAGGCAACTGAGTAAAAATAACAATTAAATACGTATGTATGAATGTACATACAGTCAGCGTCAAAAATGTCCAATCCCTGACGACTTTATTTATTTATATTTTCCATACCAACTTTTTCTTTTTTTTTATTAAAATATGGTTTATTCAACAGCAAAAACCACATGATTCATTTTTTTTAATTTCATTCAGATCTCGTGGAAAATGCAAGAACTTTTCAATTAGATTTTTTTTGAGTGTGTAGTTTTGTAGCCCATTAAATTTTGGTAAAATGAAGTTTCAAGTCGCTAAAAATTACTGTTGATTTTTGAGATTTTTTGGTCGAGGGTGTTGCGCATTTTCTTCCATACAAAAATAGATAAACATAAATAAATAAAATCGTCAAAACGTCAGGGTACGCATTTTTTTGACCCCAACTGTTTATGCATATTTATCTACATATCCATGTGAGTATATAAATATACGATGTATGTATACATACTTAGTGTGTCATATATATGTACATATGCATGTATGTATATATGTAGGTAAATTATTATGGCTGCGATCGAACGCCTTCGAGGATCAAATCCAAAATTGGAGACGTTTTAAACTAAGTAAGGAAATTACTTTAAAAAGTTTGTAATTAAAAAAAAAATCATCGAGTACATTCCAATAATTATTAAAACTATAAAAATATGTTAGCAATTTGCATACGAATGTCTCAATAATAAGTCAAAACATAATATTATCGCAGGTAAATTTAATATATGCTTTACGGTAAATAAGTAACAAATTTGTAAAGTGTTTGCGTTATAAAATAGTAATACAACAAAGGAAATGCATTAGTTATATATACGTAGATATCAGCAACTGATCAATAAAGTATCATTTATTTTTTTGTTTTAAGTTATCACTGGTCGTTTGTTTTATAAATGTATGCATATACATAAGGGGGGCCCAAAAACATATAGGAAAATCAACTATACATAAGGGGGGCCCAAAAACATATAGGAAAATCAACCTTTTGGAAATTTAACGCTTCCACCACCCAGAACTGAAGAATGAGTCCATATACATACATATTTTACATATGGAAAACATATTTGCTATAAAATAAAAAATAAGTAATGTTTTCATCGAATAAGAATACAATCCCAGTCTTTTGAATAGCACACGCTTTTGATCCTCAGTACACACCCTTTTGTTTGCTTAATATTCATTAATTGTTTATAAAAATTTGCAGATTCTACTAGTAAATCCGATTTTAAAATATACAAATTAAAAAAAAACATGCCAACAAAGGGTTCTGCTATGTTAAAAATTTCGGGTATGCAGTTTTGTAGCCCATGCAATTTTAGTACAAAAAGTTCAAGTTTCAAATAGCAACAAAAACCCCTTGATTTTTGATATTTTTTTGTTGAAGGTGCATCACACTGTAAAAAAAAAAAAATTAAAAAATCAACGGTATTTTGTAGCCGCTTGAAACTTGAACTTTGTTATACCAAAATTGCATGGGCCATAAAACTGCATAGACTTTAGGTCTATAGGACAGCACACCGCTTTGCATGTTTTTTTTTTTTAATTTGTATAAAATTTTAAAATTGGATTTACACGAGGAATATGGTAATTTTTTATAAAAAATTAATGAATATGAAACAGAAAAAGGAAAACTGTACATACTGAGGATCGAAAGGGTGTGCTATTCAAATTACTGGGAGTGTATTTCTCGTCAGTAATCTTCAAAAAATAAAATGATGTTGCATAGATATTTTACTTTAAAATTTTACTAAATATTTTTTCATTACGTGCGTTATGTGGTTAGGAACACATAAAACAACACATTTATTTAGTAAAATTTTTTAAGTTGACTATGCACCATAATCTTCTGTGGTGGGAAATATTCTTTCTTATTCGATTAAAAATATTTATTTTCAACGATTTTTTATAGTGTATTCCTAATGTAAAATATACGGACAACTTCAAGGTGCAGACGGTGCGGTTAAGTATAAAACGTCTTCTTATTTTCGATGCTCTTCAGTTCTGGCGAGTAGCTGAAGAAAAAAGTTCTGGACCACCCTAATGTACAAATGTATTTACATATGCATGTATTTCGCTCTCATTGGTTTAACATTTAATTTGGATCAGGCTTCTCATGCAACCACGGCCGAAAAATTGGCAACGTTGATGGATAATGAGTATCCGGTTTAAGTACTGAATCTGGCCATGTATTCGAGACATCATTGCCATTATTACGAAATGGATAAGTGGCTAGAACTATGGGTAACTGCAATTTAATTTCCTTTTCTAACGACTTCGGCTCGATGACAAAAAACACATCGTAGGAGATTTTTATTAGATGGCAACCATGTAAATTCGTTGGCGGAAGCGGTGGTACATACAAGCTATCGTTTTGCCATTCGTCCTTGCCGCCGGGACGTATCTTCCCGCGTGCTAGAGCGGCCAAGGCACGTTTTTCCGTTTGCACCACTTTTCCTCGTGCCAAATATTCAATGGTCTATATTGATAAATATGAAAAATTAGCTATAATAACTTAAAAACAAAATTAGATATAGGCATATGTGGTGCTGCATACCTCTGTAAGGGAAGCTTTTGTTCGTTTGATCGTCACATTACTGTGATTCGAAATTAGTGCAGTGATCAATATACTCTCCCCAGGTACATAACCGCCGCGATCAAGTGCCACCCGAGCAACAACTTTACCACCGCCCACGCATGCCACACCAAGTTTGTGTTCGATTTCACAAGTAAACGGTTGCTGCATTAAAAAAGATTGTTTGTTATAATAACAATACTATTATTACATACATATGTACGTACAATATTTATGTTTGCACATGTTAACTTCACATACCGATAGAATGGGCCTCTCCAAATTGAGATCAATCGGGTTCATCACAATGAAGACTTGATGGTTTTTATGTATTAGACCATTTGGTTCGCGTAGAGCGGCTTTACAGTAGTATTGTATCCAGCCATAACGGCCCAAGAAAGTTGACGGTAATCCCACTGGAAGGCCAAGTTTGAATGGGAAACTGTGTATGCCAGGCGAAAGGACTGATGGGCCTTGATCAACATCGCCCAAAAGTCTCATTCGAAAGTCAATGTAGTTTTCTTTGTCGTATGTACGCTCCTGTCGTGCCGTACCAGCGCGCACCACTCCTTCGCCGACAACATGAAAATGCAGCCCCAAAGCAGGAGTATCATCTTGCAGTTCGATGAGTACACGACCTGATAGAAATTGTCCGGGAAAGTAAAGCAAGGATGTATTGTCGAAGATAATAAGAAATTTCAATAGTTTTCGGGGCATTGTGGCAACGTTAGCGTTTCATATCTTTGACGACGACAAGAATCCGATATGTTAAGACACAGAAGCAATGACTGGTTGGTGATGTTTGGATGCAAATATTTTTTGTCTCGTTTTTACTGTAAAGAAAAATAATTTAGAATATGAATTTTGAAAAGTTTCTTGCACACAAATTAAGTGATATGGCTCAAATTCATCTATGAGTGCGAAAAGGTAAAGTTGAGAAATTCTCAAGGGACTTAGAAATTGTTGGGTATTTTTGTGAAAGGAATTTAATACATTAGTTATTTATCTATGGGCACATTCAGATGGCGCGATAGCTCAGTAACTCTTGCAATTGCAGTTTTCGTGCGGCATCCAACAAAGATCTTTTCATCCATTTAATGATTGCGTCTAAGCCCCTAGTAAGAGGAAAATAATGTCAAAAAACAAACAATAACCCAAATATTAAACCGTATATTTTATTAGATGAGCAAGACTTCCCACTATATGAGTATGATTGTTTTAGTTCCGTAAAAAAACGTAAAACTTTTAAATGTATAAAACGTACATAATTTAAGTTACGATTTATTATCCAATACTTTTAACCAAAGGCTTCTGTACTACATTCATTCAAATATGTCAAATATAAATTGAAACGAATAAATGAATTATACAATTTTTGCTGCCCATTTTGAAAATAAAAAGGCATAATCTAAATAAAAAAACATTTCATATAGACTAATTTATGGTATTTTGGGAATTATTCAACAGTATGCATTTCTATGCCGAATTAAGCTGCTATGGGTCATTTTCAAACAAAAGTGTTGTTTTTTAACCGACTTCCAAAAACGGAGGAGGTTATCAGTTCGTCGGAATATATTTTTTTTGTATGTATAAATATTACCGCAATTTGGGCCACGTCAACCGATTTCAAAAATTCTTTTGCATTTTGAAAGGTAGTGTCTCAGATTTGGTTTAGATCCGATCATTGGATAATGAAATATATATATATATATATATATATATATATATATATGAGAATTGAAGTCGGTTTTGTTTTTTGTTTAAAAATTACTTGTTTGTTTATAATTTTTTTGTGATCCGAAGTTTGTTTTTAGGCACGAAAATCGGTTTTTTCTATTCTCATGGTTTTGGGCAGTTTCTTCACAGTTAGAAGCATTTCGCCCTTACGCTCATTTGCCCGTATCTAGTCCGAAATGTGTGCAAAACAAACCTAATAGTAAGTGCACGCGTGTCACACTAACGTTGTTCATTAAGTAAGAAGCCGTAAATCTCGGTTATTGTCGTTTTCACTTTTATTTAACAACTACGTATGTACATATATATATGTACTTATGTATGAACAAGCATAACCCCGCAAACATATTCAGAAAATATGAGTTCTGGGTTTGCAAATTAGGAATCTGAAGTCACTTTTTCAAAATGGTGGATCCAAAATGGCGATCAATTCAAAAAAAGGATTATTGAATTCGTTCGAAACTCGGCACTCGGGAAATTTTGGGATAGCTTATTACGAATCTGAAGTCAATTTTTAAAATTCAAAATGACGGATCCAATACGGCTATCAAATTCTTAAAAAATTATTATTATGGTAAATCATTCGAACTAGAAACCTTTAAATCTCTAAAAAAAAAAGTTTTTCGACTAAATAAGTATGTGCTGATATTTGCGGCCAAAAGCAATAAGCGCTTAAGTTATCGCATTCACCAAGTGCTATTACATGCTATGTCAAATCTTCATCTCGCTTACTTAAAAAGTTATAGAGGTCCAAGTTTTTGTTACAATCCAAATGTTTAAAACTTTTTTCTCGAGTTCAGGTTTCTCGATTTAAGCGCTTATAATTTCATATTATTTGCGTTTTTTTCTGAATAAAATTTACCAAAAAACACTAGTCATACAACATAAAATGTGAGAAAGAAAAACAACTAATGCAGAGGAATTCAATTAAAAGATTTTTAGACAAGAATTAACCTGAAATAAAGTGCATATGAAAAGAAATTCAAATACAGTATATTTTGCTTAGCTGGCCACCCTTCTTTGCACGAAAAACT